TCCGGCAGGTGGCGTAGTGGCTACGTTGCTGGACGCCCGCCCGGCCCACTGCACTTTGAGTCCCGGTTCTGGGGGCTTGGAAATCACGCCAGGCCCACGGGCACGCGTGCTGGGGCTCCCGGGAAGAGAATGGAGGAGAAGGGGCTGCGGCGTGGCCCTGCCCTGGGGCTGAGCTCTCATTTCTCCCTCTCTCCGTTTCTCTCCAAGCACGCGTGCGCTTTGACAAGAAGCAAACAGAGCAGGCGGGGAACACGCGAGGCAGCAGCTTACCCCAGGTACGCCACTACGCGCTCCTTGCAGGGGTGTCTAATCAGGTGCGTGGTCCTGGATGCAAAGTACAGGCTGTCCTGTAGAGACGAAGGCGCGGGCTCAGTAACGTCACAGCAAGCCGGCGAGGAGAGAGCCTCCTCTTCAGTTTTCTTTCATTGATGGATTTGTGACAGAATTATTTAATTTTATGTATTCAATCATGTATTTTAATTTGACCAGAGAGACACAGAGAGAGAGAGAGAGGGAAAGTGAGAAAGTAGCCACCAGGTCTGGGACTCGAACCATGGTTGGTCACAGGGGAGCGTCCAGCACCTTAACCACCATGCCAGCTGCCGGCCTCTCATTTATTTATCTTTGGACAGATTCTTGCCAGAGAGTCACAAAGTGAGAAATCACCTCCTGGGGGGACAGCCACGCCACACTCCCTTCTCTTCCCTTGTCCTCTCGGCATTTTGGACACGCATGCATATGTGCCTGGCGTTAGGGGACTTGAACAGTGCTCAGGTTTGTGGGAGTCCAGCAACGTAACCATTACGCCATCTGCCGGTCGCAAGAGCAGCTTCCTAGTGGTGACACTCCAAATGTAAGAGTGAAATCTGAATTAGGTAGGTGGAGGGTATTCATGTCATTTTCCTATATTGATGGGTGGAAGTTGGGGTTGGGCCTCTGGGATGTCCCTGTACTGTTTTTGTAACTCGTTGCAAATCTATGATTATGTCCAAATAAATAGTTTTTCTTGAGAGGTTTTTTTTTTGCTATAGGGTGCGAGCACTCACCAGACAGACAAGACAGAAAGACAGACAGACAGACAGAACGTGAGAAATCACCCCCCCCCCAGGGAGGATGGCCATGCCACAATCCCTTCTCCACCATTCTCCTCTTGGGATCTTGGGCACACATGCACACGCACCCGGCATGAGTTTAAGCCACCGGGTCCGGGACTCAAAGCGCGGTCAACTACATGGGAGTCCAGCGACATAGCCATTACGCTAACTGCTGGTCCCATCCAAATATAGTTTTAAACATTCACCAGGGCCTAGCTAGCCCCATGGCCTAGGGGTTAAGATGGCTGGATTCTGCATGGCACTCAACGTGGTATGAATCGCGGACCATGTGGGAGATTGACAGTCATGCCAGGTGGGTGTGCCTGTGTGCCCCAAATGCCAACAATGGAGGAGAAATGGAAGAGAAGGGATTGCAACATGACCGTGCCCTATGGGGGGTGCGTCCTCCTCTTTCTCTGTCTGTCTCTCTGTCTCACTCTGCCAAACACATGCACCGTCTGAACAACAACAACAAAAATCCTAAGATAAATTATTTGGGGCCAGCAGGTGGTATGTTGGTTAAGAGCGCTGGATTCCCACATGGCTGACTGTGGTTGAAGTCCCACACCTGGAGGCTTGCTTTCTCACCTTCTCTTTGTCTCTCCTTCTTGCTTTGTCCTTCACTGGTCAAATTTTAAAAATAAATAAATAAATGACATTAAATAATTCTTTTTTAAAAAAGAGTTATTTATGTCAATTTTATTGATTATTATTTTTTAACTTGACCGGAGAGAAAGCAAGCCACCAAGGGACCAGCAGGTGGCGTGGTAGTTAAGGCACTGGACACTCCCACATGGCTGACCACAGTTCGGTTGCTGGACCTGGTGGCTTGCTTTCTCATTTTCCCTCTCCCTCTCTGTCTCTGTCTCTCTCTCTGGTCAAATTAAAAAAAAAAAAAAAGTGAATGGAGGAATAAAATTAAATAAATAATTTAAAAATGAAAAAAGCAAGCCACTACGTTCAAGACTTGAACCACGGTCCGCCATGTGGGAGTCCAGCACCATAACCACACCTCCTCCTGGCCCGATCATATGCTCTCATATGGGCTATAGCCAGTAGTTCAGCTGAGAGGTCAGGGAAGAAAAAAGACTGGAAAATTGTTGACAAGGACATTTGGGGACGAGGTACATGACTAGTCCTCCAGGAAGGGGAGGCCTGAAGATGTTCCTCTGTTTGAATGCACACGGAAGAGTAACCTTCACAGAGGAGGCCTCTAATATCAGGTAAATAGAATCATTGGGCTCAAAAACCACACTGGACACGTGTGTGTGCATGCCCAAAATCCCAGGGGGAGGAAGGACTATGGTGTGGCCAACCCCTGCGATATATCTCACTTTCCCTCCCTCTGTCTCTGGCATGTGCACATGCCCTATGGCAAAAAAAAAAAAAAAAATTTTTAAAAGAGAGAGAGAGAAATAGGAGGGGGGCCAGCAGGTGGCGTGGTGGTTACTGGCGCTGGGCCACCACATGGCTGACCATGGTTCAAGTCCCAGACCTGGCGGCTTGCTCTCTCTCTCCCTCTCTGATCAAATTCGAAAATAGTAATAATAATAAATAACATTAAATAATTCTACTTTTTAAATAATTTATTCATTCATTCATTCATTTATCTATTTACATTTGACCAGAGAGGGACAGAGTCAGAGAAAGCAAGAGAGACAGAAAGTGAGAAAGCCAGCTGCCAGGTCCAGGGCTCAAATCGTGGTGGGCCATGTGGGAGTCCAGTGCCCTTAACCACCATGCCACCCGTCGGCCCCAATACAGTAATTCTTGAAAAATGAAGAAGAAACAGTAGGAACACTCGTTCCCACGCAGTGCGCAGACACAGGCGAGGTCCGGATGGAAGGGGGGGGCCACTTACCCCGTGAACTTCCTGCTTAGCCTTGAGCACTTTCCCTGTCCTCACTTTGCGGACGCTAGAGGTAAGTGACAAGAGAGGCCACCTGTTAGTTTTGTTTCCGATGTGCCCGAGCATTCATGCACTGGCCAGAGACAGAGAGGGAAGGCAAGAGAGCACCCCGTGGGAAACGGTCACACGGTAATTCCTTCTCCTCCTCTTGGGATCTGGGTCGTGCACACACGCGCGCCTGGCATGGCTCTTAAACTGCCGGTTCGGAACCCCAACAGTGCAGTCGGCGTGTGGGATCCGGCACCCTTAGCCACCGCACCTCCAGCTGCCTCTGACCATTAGCTTAGGAGTTTGCCCACTGCCTTTGGTTTTTAAAGGATTTTGGCTATAGGGTACGTGCACTCATTGGAGAGACAGAGACAGACAGAAAGTGAGAAGTCACCCCCAGCAGGGACGGCCACACCGCCATCCCTTCTCCTCCAAGCTCCTGTCAGGATCTAGGGCACGCACACGCACTCGGCCTGAGTTTTAAGCCTGGTTTTGAGGAACACACCAGGTTTCTTTGCATGCGTGCCCAAAGTCCCAAAAGGAGGGGGAGACCAAAGAGAAGAACCCGCGGTGTGACCAGGCCGCATGGGGGTGCTTTCTCACTTTCTCCTCCTCTGTCTGTCTCTCTGGGGAATGCACACACCCTCTAGGAGAAAAGAGAGAGTGTGGCACGGTGGTTAAGCTGCTGACTTCCCACATTGGCTGACTGTGGTTTGAGTCCCAGACCCTGTGGTTTGAAAAATCACAACCAATAAATACAAAGAAGTTTAAGAAGGAAAGAAAGAGAGGTGGAGGGAGGGAAGGAAAGAAGACTCACTCTTTTTCTTGAAGAGACTTTGGTTAAAGGGTACTTGCACTCTCCAGAGAGATAGAGACAGACAGGGAGAGAGGCAAAGAGAGAAATCACCCCCGGGGGGTGGGGATGGCCGCTCCAGAATCCCTCCTCCTGCATTCTCCTCTCTCCTCTCGGGATTTTGGGCATGCATGCACACGCGCCCGGCATGGGTTTCAAACCTCCCATCGGAGACTCAACCTGTGGTGGGCCACGTGGGAGTCCAGCGCCTTAACCACCACGCCACCTGCTGGCCCCAGGAAGACTTGCTGCTAATGTCTTTTAGAGGTACAATGGAAAATAACCTTCCAAACGAACCAGAACTAGCCTGAAATTTCCCAGCCGAAACTTCCCCCGAGTGCCAACGACGTGAAGCCCCTGGGGCTCCGGGAACTACCTGCATGGCTGTAGGAATGGTGAGCGGGGGCAGGCTGCTCTCGAAGTTGTCTGTTGAGAGGAAAACTTGCCTTCTGAAATGAACCACCAGAGAATGAGATGAGGATGATCGCGCACCAGGAGAGGGGAGAAAGGAACCAGGGCTGCTGCAAAGAACGACCCACTGGGGCCGGCAGGTGGCGTAGTGGCTACGTTGCTGGACGCCCGCCCGGCCCACTGCACTTTGAGTCCCGGTTCTGGGGGCTTGGAAATCACGCCAGGCCCACGGGCACGCGTGCTGGGGCTCCCGGGAAGAGAATGGAGGAGAAGGGGCTGCGGCGTGGCCCTGCCCTGGGGCTGAGCTCTCATTTCTCCCTCTCTCCGTTTCTCTCCAAGCACGCGTGCGCTTTGACAAGAAGCAAACAGAGCAGGCGGGGAACACGCGAGGCAGCAGCTTACCCCAGGTACGCCACTACGCGCTCCTTGCAGGGGTGTCTAATCAGGTGCGTGGTCCTGGATGCAAAGTACAGGCTGTCCTGTAGAGACGAAGGCGCGGGCTCAGTAACGTCACAGCAAGCCGGCGAGGAGAGAGCCTCCTCTTCGATTTTCTCGAAGAGAGACATTTTTGCTATCGTGTGATACACTTGCCAGACAGACAAAGGGAGACATCCCCCAGGGGGGATGGCCACACCGCAATCCGTTCGTTCTCCATTCTCCTCTCAAGCTTTTGGGCACGCACACACAAGCGCCCAGTGTGAATTTTAAGCCCACCAGGTCCGGGACTCAATCCATGGTCGACTACATGGGAGTCCAGTGACGTAACCATGACTCCATCTGCTGGTCCCTACAAATAATTCTTTTTTTTTTTTTTTTAGAGTTTGTAACTATAGGTGAC